ACTAACATTTACTTAGAATTTTGCAGGTGTATTAAATTCTTTCCAATCAATTATCTTATTTCTCAGAACAATTCCCTGCAGGATGCATTATAATCCACATATGCCAGAAGAGAAATCTGAGACTCAGAAGAGGTACTCCCCATTTTCATCAGTTAACATTTCTGCCAAATCTCACCAAAGACAGTGTTCTCTTTCTTTAGCAGTAAGGACTGTTTTGTGATTTGTAGCATTGGGTTTGTTTGTTTTTGTTTTTAAGTTTTTTTAGACAGGAGACTGAGGTGGAAGGATTGTACACACACACACACACACACACAAAATTACTCGGGCATGGTGGCACCAGCTCCTGGGGAGGCTAAGGCAGGAGGAACGCCTGAGCCGGAGAGGTCAAGGCTGCAGTGAGTTGTGATGGCACCACTGCACTCCAGCTTGGGCAACAGAGTGAGACCCTGTCTCTAAAATAAATAAACAAAAGTGTGTATGTGTGTGTGTTTTAAAGAAAATAACAGTCATGAATAAGTAACAAGGGCTACTATTTCCTACACCAATTACACAGCAAGCTATGCTGGCTTACGCTGCCTTGTTAGGACTAAAAACACCCTAACAAAACTCTGCGCTATCCTGAGGTCCAGAAATAGATATCAGTTGATCCTGGCTCCCTCAGGAATTTAGGTTGGCATTTAGGGAGTGGGAGTGTGTGTACTCCGGCATTAGGGGTCACTCTGGTAGTTCTATTGATGTTTGCTGGGAGAACATTAGTTTCCAAGAAGTATAAGACAAGAAAGCAGGCTAGAGGTCCCAAAATGCAAGGAAAAACACACAACAGAGGGTTTTGTATAGGATTTCAAACTTCAATCTACGATTCCCACTACCCGCCATAGAAAGATTTCTAAAATTTTTCTCTTTTGCTAATGTGAGAATTCCTTGTATTTGGAGGTTATATATTTCAGTCACTACACAGCTTTCCACTTGTTGTGCAAGTCAAATAGTTCTGTTTTTAGAAACATGTAAACCACTGTAGTTTCTGACTAAATTAGATTAAGATATGTGACTGGGGAATGTGAGATGGAGTACTTCCAGTTCATGAATCTGGATAGCTTATATTAAAGGAGATTTGGAAAAAGAAGTAAAGTTTGAGTATCCCTTCTCCAAAGTGTTTGGCCCAAGAAATGTTTCAGATTTTGTATTTTGTATTTTTTTCAGATTTTGTAATATACACATACACATAATGAGATATGTTGGGCATGGGACCCAAATCTAAGCATGAAATTCATTTATGTTTCATATACACATTATATACATAGAATGAAGGTAATTTAATACAATATTTTATTTTATTTTTATTTTTTTGAAATTAAGTCTCACTCTATCACCCAGGCTGAAGTGCAGTGGTGCCATCTCAGCTCACTGCAACCTCTGCCTCCTCGACTCAAGCAATTCTCCCATCTCAGCCTCTCGAGTAGGTGGGACTACACATAGATACCATCATGCCCAGCTGATTTTTTGTATTTTTAGTAGAGACAGGGTTTCTCCATGTTGGCCAGGCTGGTCTTAAACTCCTGACCTCAGGTGATCTGCCTGCCTTGGCCTCCCAAAGTGCTGGGATTACAGGCGAGAGCCACTGTGCCTGGCCTAACACAATATTTTAAATAATTTTGTTCATGAAACAAAGTTGGGTACACTGAACCATCAGAAAGCAAAGGTGCCCCTCTCGCAGCCACCCATGTGGATAGTCTGTAGTGGTTTGGCATCACTGTCATTTCTGACTCTGAATTCATATGCTACCAATAAACAATCATTTTCTTATGCTTATTCACACATGAGTACCTAATAGAAAAAAAAAAGACATATCATTAATACTGAAAATAATATGACATATCACTAATGGCGAAAAAATACTGTGCGCAGGGTAACAAAACAGCACAGCAGCACCACCAGAATACTTGGATCAGCTGTTCAACAACAGCATGAAAAACAGCGGCAGGCTTTCAATCTCAACCCACCATGCTGTGTTTTGACTAAAAGGTAACTGTACACTGTATTTTATTTTTTTTAGGTGAGAAGAAACATTAGAAGCAGTCAAGAGACCAGCCAGTGGGTCCTCTAGGGATGAGGAGGCATTCTGAATAGACTGGGTTGTACTCCTATGTTCTGACTGCAACCCATCCATGGAGTCAAGTGTGGAATTTTCCATTTGTGGTGTAATGTCAGCACTCCAAAAGTTTCAGATTTTGGAGCACTTCGAATTTCAGATTTTCAGATTAGGAATGCTCAACCTGCATTATTATGAATAAAGTGGAACATTGCATAATTAAAATATGTAACACATTAAAGATGTAACAATCCTAAATGTGTGTGCACCTAACAATAGGGCTTCAAAATACATGAAACAAAAGCTAAAAGAACTAAAGGAAAAATAAAGAAATCTGCATTTATACATGCAGACATCAACACTTCTTAGAAATCAATAGAAGGATTTAATTACAAATTAGTAGGATATAAAAGAAAACTACTATCAATTAAGTTGACCATATTAGCTTTTTTAAAATAATATTTTACCCAACATCAACAGATTACACAATCTTTCCAAATGTACATGGGACATTAACCAAGATAGACCATACTCTGGACCATAAAACAAATATTAACAAGTTTAAAGAATTAAAAGCATACACAGAATAGGCAATTTCATAGAGACAGAAAATAGACTAGTGGTTACACGAGGTTGGGGGAAATGGCATGCTATTGTTTAACAAGTACAGAGCTTCTGTTGATGATGAAAATGTTCTGGAAATGGTTATAATGGTTACACAACATTGTAAATGTGCTTAATGCCACTGAGTTGTGAATTTGAAAATGGCAAATTTTATATAATGGTTATTAAAAAAAAATCCACTGAGGAAAAAAATCCATATACATCATCTATTATTTCACCAGAACAAGATTAAACAAGAAAACAATAGGACGATATCAGGAAAATCCTCAAATATTCTGAAATTGAACCACATACTTCTAAATAAACCATGTGCCGAAGAGAAATTTCAAGGAAATTAGAAAATATTTTGAATTGAATAAAAATAAAAACAAATAAAATAAATAAAAACACATTTAAAAAATCAAAATTTGTGGGCTGCAGCCAACACTTAAAGGAAAACTTACAATACAGAATATATATATTAGAAAAGAACAAGTGTGTAAAAGTAATAGTCTAAGCTTTGAGCTTAAGAATCTAGAAAAAGGATGAAATAAATGCAAGCATGTAGAAAAAATGAAATAATAAAGATAACAGTGGAAATCAATAAAATTGAAAATAAGGAAATAATAAAACAATGAAATAAAAAGCTGATTCATTGAAAAAAACAGTAAAACGTATAAACCTTAAGCCAAACTGACCAAGAAAAAAGAGAGCAAAGGCAAATTACCAATATTAGGAATGAAAGAGAGGCCATCACTAGAGATACTACCAACATTATAAGGACAATAGGGGAATATAATTTAAAAATTTATTCTCAGAAATATAATAACTTAGAAGAAAAACACAAATTAACAAAGCTCCCTCAAGAAGAAACGGGTAACTTGAACCTTGTGTCTACTTTTAAAAATGAATTTGTGGTTTAAAAGTTTTAACAAGGAAAATTCTAGATTTCCCCAGTGAAGATTTAGGATATTTAAAGATATAACAATTCTACACAAACATAGAAAATAGTAGAGGGCAGGACACTTCCCAGCTCACTGTATGAGTCTAGCACTACTGTGACGGTGAAACAAACCAAAGGAAAGGGAAAAGAAAAAAATAAGAGAGAGAGGGAAAGCTGCACACACACACCCCACAGACACGAGAGAGAGAGAGAATATAAACATAGACACCTAAAATCTTCAAAAATGTTGGCAAATTGAATCCAGCAATTTATTAAAATAATAACACTTAATGACAAGTTATTCAAGAAATGGGATAATGTTGGTTTAATATTTAAAATGTATTTAAAAGTCAAAGTAATTTACCATATCAACGGAATTTTAAAAATCATATGATCATCTCAATACATGAAGAAAAAACATTCATACTTTAATTTCTAAAAAGCCTACCAAACCAAGATGGGAACTTCTCCATTTTAATAGAGGGCACATGTAGCTAACATAATAGTAAATGACTGAATGGTTTCTCCTAATACCAAAAACAAAGGAAGGATGTCTACTCTCATTGCTTCTATTCAACACTGTACTGGAAAGCAAAGCCAGTGCATTAAGACAAGAAAAAGAAATAAAATGAATACAGATTAAAAAATGAATAATTCTGTCTCTATTGGCTGACAACATGATCATCTAAATAAAAAACTCCAAGGAATATATAAAACATCTACTGGAATGAGTAAGTGAATTTAGGAAAATCCATCACTTGTAAAAATCAAAGGATTTAACGTCAATATACAAACACCAATTGTACTTCTATAAACTAAGAACAACTGTCATATATTGAAATCTGGAGATAATACTATATATAAACAATATAAAAATATGAAATATTTGTGTATAATCTAACAAAATACATGCTAGAAATTCCAAATTATTGATGTAAGAAATAAAAGAAGGTAGGCTGGGTGTGGTGGCTCATGCCTGTAATTCCAGCACTTTGGGAGGCTGAGGCAGGCAGATCACCTGAGGTCGGGAGTTTGAGACCAGCCTGACCAACATGGAGAAACCCTGACTCTACTAAAAATACAAAATTAGACCGGCATAGTGGCGCATGGCTGTAATCCCAGCTACTTGGGAGGCTGAGGCAGGAGAATCGTTTGAACCTGGGAGGCAGAGGTTGCAGTGAGCCAAGATTGTGCCATTGCACTCCAGCCTAGGCAACAAGAGTGAAACTCTGTCTCAAAAACCAACCAACCAACAAACAAACCAACTAACCAACCAACCAACAAACAAACAGAAATAAAATAAGACTTAAGTAAATGGAAATTATATGGTGTTAACGGATTAGAAGACTCAATATTATTAAGATGTCATTTCTTCCCAAATTGATTTATAGATTTAATGTAATCTCAATAAAAACCCCATTAGGGTATTTCGTAGAAATTAGCAGGTTGGTTTTACCATTTACACGGCTGGGTGTGGTGCACACAGTAGTTTCAGCTACTCAGGAGGCTGAGGCAGGAGGATTGCTGAGCACAGGTGTTTGAGGCTGTAGTGTGCTGTGATCGTGCTGTGAATAGCCACTGAACTTCAGGCTAGGCAACATGGCAAGACTCCCATCTCTAAAAATAAATAAAATTTAATTTAAAAATGAGACAAAATAATAAATAGAATGTACATGGATAAGCAAAGGACCTATAAAAGCCAAAACAATTTTGAAAAATACAAATAAAGCTGCAGCAGTCACACTTCTTGATTTCAAGGCTTTTATAAATCTAGAGTAATCAAGACAGCATAGTATTGGTAAAAGACAAACATATAGATCAGTTGAATAGAATAGAGAGTCCAGAAATAGACTCACACAAAATTGCTCAATTGATTTTCAATAAAGTTGCCAAAGAAATTAAATGGTGAAAGGACAGCTTTTAGCAACTGGCAATCCAATAATTTGAGATCCATATGCAAAAACAAAATGGAATTATATTTCTGTTGTTGATTTCTAACATAATTTTATTATGGTCAGTTAAAATGCTTTGTGTGATTTCAAATTATGTAAATTTGTTAAGATTTGTTTTTGTCCTTCATGTATTTTGAAACCTTCTTATTAGATGTGTACCCATTTAGGATTATTATGTCTTCTCCAAATTCCTTTTGATTATTTTTTGCATAGTATATCTTTTTCTACCTTTTTACTGTTTACCTATTTAAGTCTTTATAATTAAACTGGCTTTCCTGAGGACAGCACGTAGGTTTTTTAAGCCAATATAGTAACTTTTATCTCTTAGTTGCTATGTTTAGATCATTTATATTTAATGTAATTATTGGAATGTTTAGATTTAGTTATATCATTATATTATGTATTTTTTGTTTGTCCTGTCTGCTTTTTTGTTTCCCTATTTTCCCTTTCCCTTTCTGCCTTCCTTTTGGATTGTTTGGATAGGTTTAGTATTCTACTCTATTTTACATATTGCTTTTTGGTTCTCTCTCACTCTCACTGTTTCTGGTTGTTCTAGAGCAGGGTTTCTCACTCTTAACACTATTGATATTTTGAAACAGATAAATTCTTTGTTTTGGACCAGATAAATCTTTGTTCTGCATTGTGCAATGTAAAATGTTTAGCAACATTTCTGACCTCTACCCACTAGATGACAGTCATACGCCTTTCTCCAGTTACAGCAATCAAAAATGTCCTCTCGATCCCAATTAAGAATGACTGCTCTAAGTAGTACAATAGAAATACTTAACATTTCTGGGTCTACTTAGAGTAATGTTTTACTATTTAAGTAATATGCAGATGCCTTACAACCATAAAGGTCCTTTAACTTCCTTCCTTTATGTTATGGTTGTCATATATATTAAATCTACAGAAGCATTAAAAACCCCATAGGACAATGTTAAATTTTTCTTTCAAAATTTTTTTTTTCTTTCAACAATTATGCATATTTTAGGCCACGCGCGGTGGCTCACATCTGTAATCCCAGCACTTTGGGAGGCTAAGGCGGGTGGAACTCGGGGTCAGGGGATTGAGACATCCTGGCCAACATGGTGAAACCACGTCTCTACTAATAATACAAAATTAGCTGAGCATGGTGGCACGTGCCTGTAATCCCAGCTACTTGGGAGGCTGCGGCAGGGGAATAGCTTGAACCATGGAGTTGGAGGTTGCAGTGAGCCAAGATTGTGCCACTACACTCCAGCCTGGGCAACAAGAGTGAGACTCCGTCTCAAACAACAACAACAACAACAAAAAACAACAACAACAACAAAAAACAATTATACCTATTTTAAAGAACTAAAAAGGAAGAAAAAGGCAAACAATCTTTTAGATTTACCCAGCTATTTACTGTTTTTGTTGTTTTTCATTCATTCCTAAAGTTCCAGGTTTCACCTAGGATTATTTTGCTTCAGTCTGAAGAACTTCCTTGCACATTTCTTTGAGTTAGCTATGAGTTTTCTTAGTTTTCCTTCATCTGAGAATATCTTTGTTTCTCCTTCATGCCTGAGGATATGTTTGCTGGATATAGAATGCTGGCTTGACAATTTTGTCATAATTTTATAGATGTTGTTCCACTGTCTTCTGGCCTCCATGGTTTCTGATGAGAAGTTCAACATCATTGTTAACATCATTATTCTCCTGTATATGTGTCATTTTTCCTTAGCTGCTTTTAAGATTTTTTTCATTACATTTAGTGTTTAGTAATTTCATTATAATGTGTTTGTGCTTTTCTCTGAGTTTATTCTATTTTGGATTTGCTGAACTTCTTAAATCTGCAAATTGATGTCTTTTTCTCCAAGTTTGGGAAATTTTCAGCCATTATCTTCAAATGTTTCTTCCATACCAGTATCTTTATAGGACTCCAGTGTTATCAGTGTTAGACTTTTGATATAGTCCCATGAGTCTCTGAAGTTCTATTCAGTTTTTTTCCAATCTTTTTCTCTTTGTTCTTCGAATTGGATGACTTCTATTAATCTATCTTTAGGTTCACTTGCTCTTTTCTCTGTCATCTTCATTCTGCTATTGAACCCATACAGTAAACTTTATTTTACTCATGTATTTACTTTGAGACAGGGTCTCACTCTGTCACCCAGGCTGGAATGCAGTGGCACAATCTTGGCTCACTGCAGCCTCCACCTCCCAGGCTCAAGTGATCTTCCCACCTCAGCCACCTGAGTAGCTGGCACCACAGTTATGTGTCACTATGCCCAGCTAATTTTTTGTATTTTTGGTAGAGACCATGTTGCCCAGGCTGGTCTTGAACTCCTGACCTCAAGTGATACGCCTGCCTCAGCCTCCCTAAGAGCTGGGATTACAGGTGTGAGCCACCGTACCTGGCCCCATCCAGTAAATTTTAAATTTCAGATATTGTATGCTTCAATACTAAATTTTCTATTTTCTTTTAAAGTGATCTTTCCACTTACTTTACTTAACATGTGTTTTCCTTTACCTCATGGAACTTACAGTATCTATTTTAAAGTCTTTATCTGATAATGTTACCAGGTGTGTCATCTTGGGGTTGGCCTTTGCTAATTGTCTGTTCTCTTAAGTACTGGTCAGGGCTCGCTTGGTGGCTCACACCTGTAATCCCAGCACTTTGGGAGGCCAAGGCGGGTGGATCACGAGGTCAGGAGATCCAGACCACCCTGGCTAACACGGTGAAACCCCGTCTCTACTAAAAATACAAAAAATTAGCCTGGCATGGTGGCGGGCGCCTGTAGTCCCAGCTACTCGGGAGGCTGAGGCAGGAGAATGGCGTGAACCCAGGAGGCGGCACGTGCAGTGAGCCAAGATGGCGCCACTGCACTCCAGCCTGGGCGACAGAGCCAGACTCCGTCTCAGGAAAAAAAAAAGAAAAAAAAAGGACTGGTCACATTTTTCCGGTTCTTTGTTGAGTAATTTTGAATTGTATTCTGGACTTTTTGAAGATTAAATTGTGTGGATATGAGTCCTATCAAAATCCTCGAAGTGATGTTGTTATTATTACTTTATTTTATCATTTTAGCAGGAAATCACTCCAGTTAGCTTCAGACTGCAAGTTTTAAAAATCACTTTCTGTGGGCAGCGTTCCCATCCCAGTTCAGTTTTCAAAATGCAGTGAATGCTGCTTTGGGTCTGTTCAACACATACGCTTCCAAGAAGTTAGTCTGAAACTTGCGTGGTGCTTTACATATTAGTTCAATTCTCAAAGCTGTGCTATGTTGTCTTCGGTCTCGTCCCATGCATATGCACCTCAAAGGTAAACATGGATTTGTGTAGTTTCTTACATATTATTAAGACATCCTGTTCTCCAGTACACTTCTCTCCAGGATTCCTTCTACATTCTGTCCCATGGAGGTCCCTTTTTCCAGTTCTTCTGTGCAGAAAGATAAGGTTTCTTTTAAGAGTTTTAATTGCCTGGATCACTGCTACTAAGAAGTTCTGCACTTGAGGCCTGCCTTTGGCGCACAGCCACAGGAGAAAAGGGGGAAAAATGAAAAATCATTGTCATATGTGTTGCTTCTTCAAGTTTTGACTCCACATCACTATTTGCCTGTTTTATTTACTTTCAAGAGTCCTCAGATTTTTTTTTTTAATTTTGTCCCAAGTTTTTAGTTATAATCAGCAGGAGATATAGGTCATAGTGGATGTGCTCCATTTTGAGCCGAATAGGAAGTCACATCCTGATATTTGATGTAAGAAAAAATTTTGGCAGGGCATGATGGTTCATGCCTGTAATCCCAGCACTTTGGAAGGCTGGGACATGTGGATTGCCTGAGCTCAGGAGTTCGAGACCAGCCTGGGCAATATGGTGAAACCCCATCTCTACAGAGAAAAAAAAAAATCATTAGCTGGGTATGGTGGTGTCCGCCTATGGTTGCTCAGGAGGCTGAGGTGGGAGGATGGTTTGAGCCCAGGAGGTGGAGGTTGCAGTGAGTTGAGATTGCGCCACTGCTCTCCAGCCTGGGTGACAAAGTCAGACCCTGTTTCAAAAAAGAAAAAGAAAAAAAATGTTTTTATGAGGATATTTGTAAGGATGTATGAAATTCATATAATGGAAGGATGAAGTCTTGGAGATCACATAGGTCAGTGGAACTCCCTCAGCAGTTGCCTAGGGTAAGAAGGGGGTAAGAGTGCTAAGTATAGACAATATTCTTCAAGTGTATTCTTAAAATAACTGACTGAAGTCAGAACTCAAGCATTCTAGTTATGTTGAGATCTTGATGTCTTTTCTCATACTCTTCTTTAGTGGGTAGCCTTGCACAAACACCCTCCAATGATGTCTAGGGTCATTGTTTAGACATCTTGCTACTCAAAGCTCTAGGCATTCCATGGAGCAGTTTCAGGGGCAAAAACAGTGGTGTGTGGGTGCACTTGTGTTATTAGCACCTGCTTCAATTAGAGCAGCCCACGTTGACCTCTTTTTCATATTGGACTGCAAGATGGCATAACATGATTTACAGTGGTAAACAAAACATGACAAAATATCATAGAAAATCACCAGTTTACAGTAAAGAGCCTGGGATTGGATTGATCAGCAGCAGCAGTACATGACGTTGCTTTCCAGTTCTTCTCTGATGCTTGTAAAACAGCTGACACACTAGATAGGAAGTAGTGACGACTCTTCAGGGATTGCCTGGGATACTA